TTATAAAATAAATAATATAAAGATAAACAGATCTAAGTCAAAACTGATAAAAGTAAACAGAAAAATTAGAAAAAAAAAAAAAAATAATATTTAAAAGAAGATAATAGAGAAGCCAAGAAACAAGATAGTTTATTTTTTAGAAATCTGGCTAAACAACAGAATGTGAGAAGTTTTAGTAAAGAAAAAATCAAAAAAATAATAAGTCAAATGATAAAAAACCTTAAGTATAAAAAAATGACAATAAGTTAAATTATATATATAAACAATATAATGATAATATCAAAGTTAAGTTATATGTTACAATTAACAAAAATGTCAAAAAAGAGAATAAATAAAATATACCAAACAATGATATATTTAACAAAACAAAAAAACAATTTTCTAAAAATATTAGAAAATTGCATAATAGAATACAAAAACCTTAGCAGTTACAGAACCCTGCAATAGAAATTAATAATAAAACAAGTAAAAAGACTAATAGTAGACTAAATAAAAAAAATTAATTAGGGCAGTTAATAAAATTAAGAATAATACAAGGCTACTAAAGAGTAGAATTAACAAAAAACATATGAAAACTAGAAAAGTTGCCAGAATATAAGTTATATTAAAAAAAAACAATCTAGTCAATTTAAGAATAATTAAAACAAGAAAGCTAAAATAAATATAAGCATAGAAAGCAAGCTTTGAACAATAAGTAGTTATAGTTCTAGAATAGGTAAATTATTAAAAAAACATAATTGTAAAAAAGAAGTAAAGCTAAAATAAATAAAATAAAACTAATATATTTAAATTAGCTGCTTAATACAAAAGGTAAAAGACTAATAACATAGCAGCAATTCAAAAGCTATTAAAAATAATTAAGTAAAAATAAAAAAGCAAAATAGTTCAAGATAATAGAGACAAAAGTGTTTAATAAATCAAAAAACAAAGAGATTAAAAAATACTTTAAACAAATAAACATAATATATAAGCAATAAAAATTAAATAAGAAGTCTGTTAAAGAACAGAAGAAGAGAATAGATAATATATAGTACAAAAAAGGTTAGACAATTAGAAAAAATAATTAAAAAGAAAAAGAAAAAAGAACTAATAGAAAATTGGCAGATATAAAATATAGAAAATAATTTAGCAACTAAAATCAATAGATGTAATAGTTATATAAAAAAAAAAGAAACAATAAAAAATACTTGTTAATATTGGATAAGAATTAATAACAAGATAAATACAATTCTAAACATACTAATAAGAAAAAATAACAATATAATCAAAACATTTATAAATTTATTAATAGAATACATAAAAACAGAAAAGTTAAAAAAAATTAACTAAAAGTTAATAAAACTTAAAATGCTTAAAGATCTAAAAATAAAGTTAGTTAAAAAGCAAAAGCTAAAAAAAAACATTATTTAAGAAATAGTAAAATTTTTAAAATAAATATATTAAGAAACAAAGACAAAGATATAATATATACAGACAGCATAGTAAATATAAAGAATAAAAAAAAAACAGTAATAAAAATATGAATATAAAATAAGTACAAATAAGTGAAATATAAGATTAATAAAAAAAGAGGTAGCATTAGAGATAAAAAAATAGTTAATATTAACTACAACTAAGTTATTAGCAATATAAGTAACAATTTTAACAATATTAAAAAAGAAAAAACTATAAATATTTACAAATAATAATGCTGTAATTAGAAATATTAATAGAAGTTTAAAATATATAAACAGAAATAAAATTTTTTAAAAAAATATTTTATGAATAGTGAAGATAATTAACTTAATTAGAACAAAAACATATATATAAAGTAGTTTAAAATAAAAAGTTACAATAAAGACAAATAGAACAATAAAGCTAATAGCTTTGTAAAGAAAAAAAAATATTAAGCAAAAAAATAATATATATAGAAAAAGTAAGCTATAAAAAGATAAAATACTACCTAGAGTAAAAAAAACAAATAAATAAACATACTAAGAAGACTTTTATATAAACTAGTAACAAATGCCAGACTAAGAGCAAAATAAAAAAAAATAACAATAATTAAGAATTTAGAACTAATAACAGAAGTAGTAATCTATAATTAGATATATTTATAAAAAAGGCTAAAGTCAAAAAATATATATTATATAATAAAAAGAAATAGTACAAGAAGAAGTATTTTTATAAAATATATATTGGATAAAGTTTTAATCTTAAAGAAATTTAATCGAAGAAGTTTAAATATATATACAACTGCAGAATGCTAAGTCTGTTAAGCCAAAGTTAAAAAAATATAAAAACATCTAGCATTATTTAAAAAACAAGCAAGCTTTTGAAAAAGAATACAAAAAGTATCTATTGCAATAGCATAGAAAGGATTAAAAGAAAAAAAATTTAAAATCCAACTTATATACTATATATAATATACTTTAGAAAAATAAAAATATAAGAAATAAAAATAAAAAAAATACTAACCAAAGATCTAATTTCAAAAACAATTTAAGACAGATTAGCATAACTTCTAAATATAAAGATAAAATAATAATTTATAAATATAATAGCAAAAATAGCTTGAAATATTTTTTACAAGCAAGTTTGAAGAATATAATATAAAAAAGTTAATATATAAGAAAAAGAAATAAGAATAATTAGCAAAATAAAAAAAAAGATCCTAGAAAAAGAAAAAAAATTCAAGCAAAAAGAAAAAAACTAATTAACAAAAGATAAATAAAAAAATAAAAAAAAACAAAAGTAAAAAAACAAATCAAAAAATAAAATTAAAAAAACAATATTAAGACTTGTTATAAAAAAGAAAAGATCCTTTTATTATAAACTTTAAGTAGTCAGACAAGCAGCTTACTTCTGCTCAAAATAATGTAACAGGTTGTACTTAGATATTATTAAAGTGTCCAAATAATATTAGACTTAGTTGTTAGATATATCTATATAATTGCAAAAGTAATTTCAAGAAACTTAATAAAGTACTAACATAACTGCTTAAGAGAAAAAAAAATAAAATAAGAATTAAAAACAGTTATCTAATAAATTAGAAAAAAAGTTTTAGAAATATTGATTTAAATAAATAAATAAATCTTAAGTTTTAAGGTTTTTATTATATTAAGTTACAGTAATAGTAAAAAATTATAACACTCATATAATATGGTATAGCATATCAAAATTTTATTAAAATTTAATAAAATTTTAATTACAGTTAGTTTAAAATATATATTTGATGAGAGTATGATGACCTAGTGAAGTGAATAGGTTGTTAACTCCCAAGTGGCAGATCTAGAGTTCAAATTCCAGTAACAGTAAAAATTTGTAATTCTTTCTGTATTATGATTAACTGTCTTTCATAATTGGTTGGGATTAGATACCTATAACTTATGTCATACTAGCATGACTAGAAGGTCTAGGCACTTATATAATATTGTACAAAAGAACACAAACCAGTACCAGGTAATGTGAACTCAAGATAAGTCCTTAGGCTATATAAATTATAAGAACCAGATAGAAAAACAGAAGCCTACTTGAAAGACCTGAGTAAAGAGGTAAATCAAACTTTTGACAGTATTACTGTAAAGACTAGACCTATAAAACAGACTTAGAACTTATGAAACCAGACAAATGTGCCAGTCTTTGAGAAGAGACAGAATGAACCAACCAGGCTGTTAAAATTTCTGGATTTAAAAAGAAAAAGGTACATGCTAGCAAATATGTAAACTAGAGATGTATAGTTATAACTTACCTTTTCAGGCTATCTGAAATAGCAGCTTGGTTGAACTTGAATTAAATACCAAAGTAGTAAAAATATGTTGTGAAGTTAGTACTAAGGTTGGGGTAAACTCTACAAGAGTATAGTAGTTTAATGGTACACTCTGACCATTAATATTGGTCTTAGTTATAGCAATACTAGGTCAGCTGTAAAAATAAATATAGAAGATTCTAGAAGGTTTAGTACAAGATCAAAGGTTCTAAAGAACTACTTTAAAGGCTTAGTAACTATGGCATATTTTCACTATTATTAGCTAGGGTTGTTGATAGGTAGAAATAGGTGAATGGATATGAAAACTAAAGTAGTTAAATAGAGAATCTACAAGCAGATTCCAGATATAGTAGCTAGTATAGAACCTTCGAGCAGACTACTTAAATTAGACAATAACTAAAGTTGTACAAGTGACTAGTTGTATACTCTTTTTATAGTTGCCTTTTGTAGTTATAATGCAACTATTAGCCAAATATACTATTAATAAAATCCTGAGTTACAAGTACTTACTTTAATATTTAAAATATATATATATATATATATATATATATATTTGACTATCTTGTAGTTAATTGTATACCTACTCTGTTCTATAACTAAATTTAAACATCTATATATAAAGGTTACTAAATTAAAGCATAATGAGCTGTTAATTTGATACTATTCTGCTTTAATAATTAACACAAAATAATTATTTAATTTCATTTCTTTTGCTTAAACTAAGAAGTTTATTTTTTTTCAACTTTTTTTTTTATAATTGTTTAAAGATTTTCAATTGGGTTGAGATCAAAGAATAAGAAAGACTAATTAAGAACTTTTGAATATCAAGCTTGTAAAAGAGCCTTAGTTGCTTTAACAGTATGCTTAAAATTATTATCTTGTTGAAACATTCAATTATTATTTAGAACCTTAGATGCTTGGTCAAACAAATAGTTTGTCAAAATCTTATGATATTATTCACTATTTATAATATTAGTAAATATGTAAAACCTAACAATTCTCTTTTTACAAAATGCTCTTCAAACATAAACCTTAAACAGAAGTTTTACAACTACTTATGTTGGTACTAGTTCACTAGCCTTGTACTGAACTTTGATTATATTTTAAAATAATCAAAAAGTTGCTTCATCAAAAAAAATGATAATATTTTATCTTTTTTTTTAATACTTACAAGCCCAGCAAACATGACAAATCATAGTTTCTTTTTTGAAAAAAAAACAGTATAGGGAACAACAACTTAGTAACCAAAATTCTAAAAATTCTTACAAACTGTTCTTAGTGCAATATTTAGTTCAGAATAAGTGTTGTTAACAACTTCTGTTAGTTTTTTACTTGTTGCAGTTTTGTCTTTCTTTATAATTTTGTCTAAATGTTTTTTTTGTTCAGGACCAAGAAGTTGTAAACATTCTGTATGTTTATTTAGCTTAATATTATCTGTTTTATTGAGTTGAGTAGTCTATTTATACAAAGTTTTTTGTTAATTTTTGCAACTTAGAGACTTTGTTATAATCATGTTTTTATAAGAACTTAACCAAAATATGTCTTTCTTTAAATAAAATTATTCATAAGAAAAACAAAGATTTGTAATATTACAGATTACTAATTTTATATCTGTAAATCATATAATAATTTTATTTTATATTGGTATAATGGGATTTAAGATTTTATCATATAATTTCTAAAAAAAAAAGTGGCATAATTTTTTATCACCACTGTAGCCAAAATTAATTTTTTTATTTTATAATCTGATTGAACTTGTTTTTTTAAATATTAAAAATAAAGCTTGTTATTTTATTATTAAAAAAAACAACCAAATTTTTTTTAAAAAAATAAAATAACTATTTAAAATATATAATTTAATATAGTATTTTTTAACTTAATTTAGAAATTATTTTATTATAAAAATTATAATAACAGTAAATGAAATATATTAGGGTATGATAATCTAATGAAATAGATAGATTGTCAACCTCTAAGTAGCAGGTCTAGAGTTCAAATTCTAATGATAGTGAAAGTTTGCAATTCTTTTGTATTATAATTAACTGTTTTCTATGATTTATTGAAATTAGATACCTGTAATCTATGTCATACCAGTATGACTGAAAGGTCTAGACACTTATACAATGTTGTATAAAGGAACACAAACTGGTATCAGGTGATATAAAATCAAGATAAGTCCTTAGACTATGTAAATTATAGGAATCAGATAAGAAGACAGAAACTTACTTAGAAGATCTAAATAAAGAGATAATCTGAACTTTTGATGATATTACTATAAAGATTAGACCTATGAAATGAAGTTAAAACTTATGAAACTAGACAAATATGCTGGTCTTTGAGAAGGAACCAGATGAACTAACCAGACCATCAAAATTTCCAGATTTCAGAAGAAAAGAATACATGTTAGCAAATATATAAACCAGAGTTATAATTATGATTTATCTTTTTAGGCTATCTGGAATAACAACTTAGTAAAACTTGAATTGAATACCAAAGTAATAGAGATATGTTGTGAAATTAGTATCAGAATTGGGATGAACTCTACAAAGGCATAGCAGTTTAATAGTATGCTCTAATTACCAGTATTAATCTCAATCATAATAATATCAGATCAGTTGTAAGAATGAAATACAAAAGATTCTTAAAGGTTTAGTACAAGGTCAAAGATTCCAAAAAACTGCTTTAAAGACTTAGTGATCATGGTATATTTTTACTAACAGCAGTCAAAGTCATTAGTAGACAGAGGTAGATAAGTAGATACAAAAACTAGAGTGGTTAAATAGAAAACCTATAAGCAGATTCCAGATATGACTGCTAGTTTAGAACCTTCAGGCAGACTACTTAAATTAGACAATGACTAAAGTTATATGAGTGGCTAGTTGTACACTCTTTCTATAGTTGCCTTCTGTAATTGTAATGCAACTATTAGCCAAATATACTATCAATAAAATCCTGAATCACAAGTACTTACCTTAATATTTAAAAAAAAAAAGCAAATGAAATATATTTGTACAATAAATAAACATATTCCATTACATGTAAACTTCTCTTATACAATATAATAAAATATATAATCTTACATTTTAATTAAAATCATATAAGGTCATATACAAAATATATATTAAATTTATTTTATATATATCAAATTTATTTTTTAGTATTTGAATATTATTTAGTTTTTACAAAATCCAATTTTACAAAGTATTTATAGTATTACCCATAGTTTGATCATTATAGATGAAGAATAATACTAGGTTTTAATTATGAAAGATATTATTTTTAGGTAATACTGTAGGTAGTGAACAATGGTAGATTCAAAGAACACATTTTTAGTAAAAACATTAATAATAAAAAATAAATTTTATTAAAACATGTCTATGTATTATTTCAAAAACTAGCTAATTAATCAGTACAAGGTGTTTTAAGTAAAACTCTTCTAAGCTTCTAAAAACCCTTCCCGAACCCTAATACTAACTTAAAAACTATCCTAACGTGAAAAAATTTAAGTCAAAAATTTCTATAACAAAACTTAGAAAATTAAAAAACATATAATAGGTGCAAAACATCATAGGTGCGTTTTATAATAATTATAAAACATTATAATCAATTTACTTTAAAATTTATGATAAATAAAATCAAAGTTTGTTTTTTACTTATATATATTCACGGAATTTTTTTTTATTTTCTTAAATGATTAGATATACAAACATTAGTCAATCACATGAATGTTTATCAGTCATGTGAAGAATCACATATGGTTAAATTGCAAATGCCGCTTCGCGGCACGTGCTCCGCACAACATAACCAAATAACAAGTACGAACTTGTTTATGAACCATGGCAAAGTTTTTTTTGAATGCTTATTTATAACAGAAAAAGCTTAAACGTTAAATATGATCACAAGTAAAAGATGGATAAACCATGCAACCGTCTTCGTGACACCATACTTTTCCTCATTTACAAAACGCTACATTAAAAATGCATTTGAGTCGGGAAAAAGATTAAGTACCCGTTGCACAAAAATTAACAAAAAACTTGGATTTCAATTTGCAATAACCGGTCATAAAATTCCTAATAAGTATATAATTGAAAGAAAAAGAATTTTTTTTTTACCAGCTTTGAACAAGATGTCGTTAGCTGCTTCTTGTGGAACAATTCCTCCAGTAGAAAGTAATTACTCACCAAAGGGTGTAATTAAAAATGTTTCCGATTTAGATGTTTATACTGTGGTTCCTGACTCATTCACTGAAGCTCAAACTAAAAATGCGGTTATAATTTGTTATGATATTTATGGATTTCATGAAAATGTAAAACAATTTTGTGATATATTGGGAAGTCAAGGTCTGTGGTAAAATTACATAAAATTTTATTTTTTTCCAATGTCATTATTGGTGAAAGAAAGTACATGATTTTTTTCGAATTGAACTTTAATAGGCTTCCTTGTTGCATTACCTGATTTCTTTCGAGGGGATCCTTGGACTTCTGAAAAAATTAAGGGCGATAACTTTATGTAATATACTAATATATATGTTGAATTTATAAAATTTTCTATAATGACATCATTTTTATTAACATCTTTACTCAAATATTTGATTAAAGGGAATCGTTACGTGCATGGTTAGGTGAAAAGGCACCTCCTGAAAGAGTTCAACAACATACCGCACAAATTGTAGAACATCTTCGCAAGGAATATGGAGTTCAGAATTTTGGATTTATCGGATTTTGTTGGGGTGGAATGATCGCTTCTAAAATGTCCAAAGATCCTACATTTGATGGTTGTGTATTAATTCATCCTGGAATGTTGTCAATTGAAGACTTTAAGGAGAGCAAATGTCCTATTGCGTTTATACCTTCTAAAGACGAACCTGATCTTGTAAGTTTAAAAATGATTATTTATTAAAGTACAAAATAATATTTCAAAATTATTTATATTTATATTTATATTAAAATTTATTAGGAAAACTTGTATGTCAAAGATCCAGCTCTTACCAGCAAACCATTTGCTAGCAAAATTGTTCATCGTAGATTTGATTTGCATCATGGTTTCGCAGGTGCCAGGGGTGATTTCAGCAAAGAAGATAATGCTAAAAGTGTAAACGAAGTTATTAAAATTACTGTAGACTTTCTTAATGAGAATTTAGGCGTGAAATATTAATTTTTGGAATTATATTTTGTGCACTTCATTTAACGTTAATGGATAGTTTAAAGTATATTTAACAGAAATATTTACGTGTCATCAATTATTCATATGTGAATAAAGTTATATATATTGTTTATATTGCTACAATATTCATTCCTAATTATAATTGAGTGGATACATTTATTTGAAAGTCACAATAGTATAAAACAACGATCTAGTGTTATCTGGATGCAGACATAATTCTGTAACTATTATTGATGGTGTTAGCTTAGTTGAGAATTTTCTTTATTATAAGAATAGTTCAAAGGGCATAAAATTTTTTACTTTGAAGAACTAATACGTATGTAGGTATTAAAGAAGAAACATATCAGATATGATATAGTGATCCTCTAGTGATCCTCCTCCACCATCCTATATCGATATTGAAAAATGTTAATTTAGGACCTTCCAATATATGTGACAAAATTTTATAGTAACCTCTAGATGTTATCAATTACAAATATATTTGTTTTTCTCATTTAAGATTTATAAATTTTCATTCCAAACGTGGCCTCTGAAATATTTAAAAATTATATTACTAAATTAGAATACGCTATAATATGTTTTTTTAACTGAAAATGCATGGGTATAGTAATTTAATATATAAGTTCAACAATATGACATTATTTGATTTTCATTATATGAAATTATTAAAAATTTATACTTATTAGATTTAAAATAATGAAAATATTTAAAATTTATATTTATTAGATTTAAAATAATGATTTTAAAAGAACAGCTTAAAATCAAAATTATACGTATTATATAAATATACAATAACATTTTATTTTTAGTACTCACTTTGACATGTCAACTTTTTGTTTGGTAATTAATAAATATACTGTATGTTAAGTATTATATATAACAATAATAATTTTTTTTTAATTTTTGTAATCAGTTATTTCAAATTTGGTTTCATTTTTACTATAAATTTATTGTAAATTTTTAGTAGAAAAAAATTTTCACAATAAATACAGTAAATGTGATCTTTTTAAATGCATAATCTATTAATACTTGTAGATTTTTACTTTTCTAAATGCAATTCCTCTCTAAATGCAAGATTTTCGGCTATACATTTAATGAAGTTTGACTGTATTATTTATTATTATACGTATTAAAATTCTACTTTGTATTAAGCAGTTGACTTGTACTATACATATATTATATAGAATATCTATATATCTGAAAGTCTGATCGGATGACATTAAATTAAATGAATATATATATATATTATTCACCAAATATATTCATTTAATTATTAATTTAAACTTTGAAATATACAGTAAATTTATTGTTATACAAAGCTTCAGCTTAATATAAATGATATTACATTTAGTTAAAAATTTTATAGATATTGTCTTATATTTACTTATAGAAAAGTAACCTTAATATTCGGTAATATTCATTTGAGTTGTTTTTGACAAATATCCGATTAATAAAAATTGAACAGATGAATATTTAAATACAATTATTTGACCGTATCAGACATCCAAATATACCTACAGTATATTATTACTTGTCAACAACTTTCTTTTATGTAAATTTCATTAAATCAAATCAAAAAAAAACCCCCATTAATAATGATTAATTAAGCAGATAATTTTTTTTTGTTTCTATATTATATAAGTTTTTACATTGCATCATTTCATGTTAATTATAATAATTAATTAATCCTAACTAATTCTTAATTCAATCAATCACCTTGATGAAACTCTAATAATAATTCTCATTTTATCAACAATATCGCGATCAACTTTTGCAATTTTCCAATCTTCTTCGCATTCAACAGTGATAAAATCACCATATACATTTTTATATTCGAAACTTTCAATAATTGTCATGATCCGAGTTTGAATCTTTAGAAATAAATCAGCCAATGAGATTGTAAATGGAACTAATAACGTACGAGTATGAGTCAAGAGGTGAAAAGTTATATAGAGCTGGTTAGAGATTTAAACGAAAAATACGCAAGATACATGAGAGATACGCGAAATAAATACGCGAAAGATATGCGAGAAATACGCGATAGATACGCGAAAGATATGCGAGAAATACGCGATAGATACGCGAAAGATATGTGAGAAATACGCGATAAGATACGCGAAAGATATGTGAGAAATACGCGATAAGATACGCGAAAGATATTAAAATTTAATTAATCTCAAATTTTTTTCAAAAAAAATCGCGAGAAATTAAATTTCATTTACCATATTACATTCTGAATTTTGTTCATATAAAGGATTAAAGGTTTCCTGATGTTATTAAGGAATAAGATGGATGATTGGATGATGATGCGTGAACCTGATAAAATTTCCATAACTTGACATAAAATAAGTAGTAACCTCCATTAAACATTTATCATTATTAGGTAATACGTCGTGAATAACCTTTACAAAATTTCATAAAATTTTAAATCAATGTTAAAAAAAAAGACAAACATTTTTTTATGATAATTAAGTAATAAGTATATATTTTTTTTTTTTAAAAAAAAACAAGAATTACATTTGTTACATTCTTCTGAAAAGTTGGTGATTTATTCAAGCGAAACTTTTGAATACCGATATAGAAAATGGTAATTGTTGTTGGATGAACTTTTTGACAAGGAACCAAGATCAAGGTAGTAGTATCATTCATTCGACCACCTGTTGGATCATTATCAATTACCGAAGAAGTTATTTTGCCTTCACTATCTATAGTACGACAGAAGAACTTAAAAAAATGAATATATATATATATATGTATATATGTATATATAATAAGTTTAATAGTAATAATAGTAAGTGAAAAAAGAAAAAAGAATAATTCCACCTGTATAGCTCATTCACTAATGGTAAAATCAAGTATAAAAAAAAGGATATTCACGTGTTTAGAAAAACTTGGACATAAAGAAATCTCAAGCATATTTTTATCCGTAATTTTAATTTCAACAATTTGATCCAAAGGAATTTGGACCTCCTCAATAAAATAAGAAGAATTAAATCCGATACTCATGACTTTGGTGACCCATTTAAATATCAAATCGATATGTTTACATCTTTTCGTTGAAATAAATTCATTCTTTGGTAAAAAAATAATTTCTTCAAGATCTAATCTAATCCAAGAATGAAAAGATGGAATATGCTTTCCTATGAATTAATTTTATTAGTTTTCATATGTACAATATAAAAAAAATTAGACAAAACTTTTTCTAAAATAAATACTTTTAATAGGGTAATCATTATTTTCGTTAATTTTACATAAGGGCATACTCAACAATTTTTGTTTTTTACGGAGAAACAACTTAAACTATTATATATATGTAGTAAAATTTTCACGTGATAGATCTGTTGATCTACATTCTGCATTACTGCATTAGGGAATCATTTTTGCTCTAAAAAGGCAAATGACTTAACGTTAAGGCAAATTTACAGTAATTACAGGTTTATGTACCGGTACATGAAACCGTTCATTATTGAAAAACGGAAACTCCTGGATCAAGGCCTATTTGATAAGTACCATAAATTATAAAATTATGTGACATTGTATGAATAGCAGTCATTATATTCTCTATGTCAATGCAAATTCTCTGCGTTGAATGCGTCGAATGCGTCGAATGCGTTAATGCACATGTTCTGCGTTAAATGCAAATTCTTTGTATCAATGTAAAGTATTCTATGTACGTACTTATACTTTGTTACAAGCATAATGGTTAGATTCTTAATATTTTTTTTGTTTTTATTAAATCATATACACAATAAGATATGACTACAATAAGAAATGTTTATAATTTTAAATTTCTAAATTTGGAGATGTTAGTTGTAATTACATATATATACATAGATCGATCTACATAATGCAAATGTTTACGTACTATTATTTATTTTTTATATTTACAATATACAGATATATCGATATTTTCCTATAATTTCCAATATGTTTCAATATTTTCGGTATTTTCGGTATTTTTGGTATTTTACGCAGGAGACCATTAATGACAGCTTGCATAAACAATATGGATAACTCTACGTGGAAAACCCTGCCCTGCAGAACATTGTATGTATGTTACTTTGATAATTCGGGAAATACATATAACGTAATATTTTATATTGTGTTTATTGATAAATGTTCATCATTGTTGAATGCTTCACATCAGATAACTCTATATTCTCTATATTACTGTATATTATAAATTTTTTTGAGATTGGTTACTAGTTAAAGAAATGATGCTCTTTATGTATTCCGAAATTACAAGTCTATAAAAATACTATGTATTAGTTTTTGAATAGGTTGAATAGATTAAACATCAACATTATTAACCAATATGGGCTGTGTGCTAAGAAAAGGGACCAAATTGATTTTTTTTAAAAAAAGTTCTTAAGTAAAATAGATGTAGATTTGATCATCTGATTCAGAACATTTATTATTTTCAAAAAAAAATTTTTGTCAATTTGGTCTCTTTTCTTAGCACATAGCTTATATATTCAGAAAGTTTGTAGAATTATAGTTTGATGCAAGCTTATTTGCTTTATTATTAAATATATTGTCTTTATGAACTAGTACTTTGTGAAAATATTATTATATTTGCATAATCTAATTAAATTAATAACTATATATCATATTTGCTAATAATTATAAGAGTATTGTTTGATATCATGTTAATAATTTTGTTAAAGTTAAAAATTACAGATTGTAAATTAGTATAGATTTGGATAGTGCTATTCTAAAAGCATATACATATAGCAAATAAAATATATATAAACTTAGCTTTGTATAATAATGACCAAAATTTAATTTAAAAAGATTAAGTTTTAATAATAATGTTACATATTTGTATTTATCTAATATTTATTAAATATCTATTAGTAATAATATTGATAACAGAATTATTAGTATAAAAAGTAAAGTTGATATATTAAGTGTTTTGGTTTGCAAATTGTTATAGTTTAATAGAAAATAAATTAGTATAAAATATAAAAGAAATTGGATCTTGTAATAAGATAATAATAAAAGTATAAAAATTCTAGTAGAGTTATATAATGCAATTAAATATATAAGCTCTATATAATTTGCATTAAGCTTAAGTTTATTTGTAGAATTTTATTGTTTTTTTTTAAAAATTTTGTAAAAAGAGTAGCAGAAATATTAAATATATAATAGTTTTGGTTTTTTTTTTTTTTTTTTTTTTTTAAGGTGACCTTTTTGGTCTTTTGACTTTTATTAATTACTTATCAGTATTGTGGTTCAATAAACTACTACAAAAGAGTATAAAATTGGCTATATATATAACTTTTCTATATTACCTATTTAAGAAGTCCATCTGAAGGTTCTCTACTAATTGTTATACCTAACATTTCTACTTAGATGTTTTAATTTAAAACTTCTGAATCTGTAATCTGTGTTAACTCACTAGAATATATTTAGATACCCAGATTATTGTCTTAACCTTAGGACTAATTTATTCTTAAGATAAACTCTCCAGAGTTTTTTGTACTTATTTTTATAACTGATCTAGATATTGCTATAGCAAAACTAATACTTGTGGTTAGGGCTTAACCATTAAACTGCTGTGATCTTGTAGAGTTCACTTAGACCTCAGCATCTATTTCATAGCATAACCTCAGTACTTTAGTATACTTCTGCCTTTTCTTCTGCCTTTTTACCCAACTTCCAATCCAGATAGTCTGTGTAAACTATGACTAGTCCATTAGTATATTAGGTCGATCCAATATTCTTTTCTCTAATTCATTCTAGTGATCTGATTAGTAATATCTTTGAAACTTTCAACTCAAAGGTTCTTGCCTGTCTGGCTACTATGACTAGGTACTAGACCTTGATATCTGTTTTACTGAGCTAGCCTTTATAGTAGAACCATCAAAAATTCAGCTACCTCTCTACTTAGATCTTTTCAAATAGATTTCTTGTTACCTAATTTTAATGAATTTATATAGCCACAAGAACTTATCTAGTATTTGTACTGCCTAATTTGTCAGTTTGCATTTCTTTGTATAACCTTAACATTGTACAAATGCCCTATAACTTGCCAGTCATACTAGTATGACTGCTATTACAGGTATCCTAATCCAATCATTAATAACAATTGCTATAATACAAATATTACATAAGTGATTATCCAAATTTTCACTATTGATAGGATTTGAATACCCAATCTACCACTTGAAAGATTGACAACCTGACCACTTCACTAAGTTATCACACCTTCTATATAATAGTTTTGTATTCTGTTAGAATTATATAAGCATTCAGTACATAGTATACAATTAATTAATAAAAATAAATAAAGGTTTATATTAGATATATTTACTTTAATTGTCAATATATAATAAATATAGTGTTGTTATTTTGGTTATATTTGTATATTTTTTTTATTATTAGTTGTATACTATTGTAATTAACAATAATAAGCCAAGGTTTTAATTTAAAATTATAGCGTTTAATTATAAAAAATAAAAAGTTAGTTTGTAAAAAACTTGAATTAGTATTAAGTTTTCTAGTATAAGAATTTGTAACAATTTTGTCTTTTAATATAATAAACTATTTTGGTTTATATTCTATTAAAATTTGTTAAATCTTGATAAGATATGTTTTAATCTAAAAATATAAAGTTGTTGAATAAAATTAGTTGTTCAAAATAAAAGATATATTTAGTTTATAGTTGTTTTTTTAAAGTTGTTATAATATTTATATATTTTAAGTATATTTTTAATTAGTGTATATAGGTATTATAATATATATAATAGTATTGTATATGCAGATATAATAAATTGTAAATGTTGTAATAGTAGTATTATTTAATATATTGTTGTATTGTTATTTGAACTATCTATTAATAGATATAGATGTTTATATAAAAAACCAAGTTAATAACAGCCAAACTTGATATACAGAGCAGACTATGACACTTTTCACAACTGTAAGAGCTTAGTATACAGTAAGTGAATTTACAAAAGAACTCTTTACTTTCTTAAATTCTATTTCATTATCTTATATTAAGAAAGAACTACAAAACTCATCTTATAACATATTATATAATTCAGATTCATGTTATAACTAATGATTAGCATAGTTAAATCTATCTTTATTTTTACTTCTTCAAATACTTAGCTTCTTTTTAAAACATATTCATCATTATAATTATTTACAACTTAACAATTTTAATTATGCACTTACAATATTAATTAAACTTGATTATAGTAAATGCTATATATATTTATTATATAAATCTCTACCTTTATCTAAATATTTTTTTTACAACTATCAGATTATACTTATTATTTATCTATACCTATTCTTTCTAAATTTTTTCCAATAAACAATAATATACTAAATACTAATTTAATTATAAAAAATAATAAACTAAACTATACTTATTTTCAATTAGTAAAAATTATCTTAAAAGATCATAATAAAACTACTATAGCTAAACAATATTATGACAATATTCAACTTAATACCTGCTATAACAAATTTTTATTTTACAACTATCTACTATTATTTTCTTATCTACAAACTATTATTTTTTTCTTATAACATATCTACAGCTTTAGTTACTCATTTAATAACTCTTGTAACTATATATTAACTATTTCAATTAAAAATAATTATAGTAAAGTTCATGTTTATCTTTCATCTAAAGCTAAACTATTATCTAATCACTTTATTCTACTAGTTCAAGATATTTGATATTATTTAAACATTTAGCTAAAATCAAACATATTAATACTAGTTTTTTTTATACTAGCACTATTAGTTTTTATCTTTTGTAATTTATTATAAACTAATATTTCTAATACTTCTTCTCTAAACCTTACAATCTGCACTCACAATATTTAAGAATACAACAAAAATCTCAAATAGCAAGTCTAAAAGGATTATTGTATTTCTTATTTTTTGAATATTATTAGTATTACTAAAACTAAAATAGCAGAAGATAATGCTACTATCAAATTTTATAACTTAAAACACTACTTCTATTACTGATTCTGTACTAAAAGTTTCAAGACAGAAACTGCACTTATAATTCATAAACACCTTACACTCTATATACATAATATCCTTACTCTTTCTGGCTATACTATTGCTATCAACCTCTTCTTTAAACATGATTACAAATTTTGAATTATTTTTATATAGCTACTATGTAAAAACTCACAATTAAGACTTTAAATTCAAAATACTATTATTTAATGAATCCAACAAGTTACTAATCAAAACATCTTATCTATAATACTAGGTGACTTTAATATGCC